TCTTTCACGCAAAAACTACTAAATGGATTTTGATGCAACTTTACAGTATTATTGTTTGTAACCCAAAATAACATGTTATTGGCTATAATTTGTGACGATCTGTGACAAACTAAATTTCACGCGGGTGAAGCCGCGGACAAAAGCTAGTTTAGAAATAAGTAGGTTCACACTTTACATGAAATAATTTTATCGACTCTACTGGTACAATAGTTTTATTAACTCTTGCATGGTCTAGTAGTTCTGCTTACATTGAAACCTTAATAAAATACCGTAGCCGCAAAACAATCAAAAATTTAATCAATTCAGAATTTCAGAATTATAACTTTGGAAACTCAATAAACTAAGTAAACAAAATTATAAACGCAATTTGAAATAAAATTAGTTGCCTCTGTTTTGGCTCAGTATATTAACAAAACATTGAAAACATGTTTGTTTAGCAAAGACAGTTAATAGTTTTAATTAATTTAAATTATTCATTTGGTTTTTTTATCCACAACGAGGAAACTCTTGGCCTATATCTCACCTGATGGTAAGTGACGATCAGGCCGAAGGTGGAAGCGAGCTTCACCCGGAATCCTCAACCACGGAGGAACTGGCTATTTTACCTCTAACTGCCGGAACACAACAACGGTTCAGTGGTTTAGGTACACGATGTACGTAAGAAACTAAACATAGGTACATAGCAAAAAATATACCAGCCGAATTGAGAACCTCCTTTTGTTGAAATCGGTTAAAAAGTAACACAAAGTGCAAGTAGTTGATTCTGGAACTGTACGGCTTATCAATTGTAATCGTTACTCGAATCGGTCCGATTGGTTGGGAAATAAAATTTTATGTTGCTACATTATAAAGCAATATCTACCACAGGCGACCGCAAAATAAATTTTTACGCCTCCCGGGAAGAAACCGCAAACTGTCCGAGTGGAAGAGACGCATCCCTCAGGACGGCGACCCGATATTTACTGCCCGGACACCTCGAATAAGGAATCACTCGATTTTTTTTAACTACTTTTACACAGGAGAACTTTTGGAGCTTTGCTTGTGACAAAATGTACCTACCCTGTGTAGGTAATACAAGTTTCCTTTTATTCTAAAATAAACCAATTTTTTAAATTACAAAATTTTATATTTGAACTCGATGGAAGTCTGCCTTGACGTCCCTAAGCAATTATCGTGGTAACGGCTGCTGAAATTAGACGTTTTCAGCAGGAAGTCTGTCGTGCGTTTGCAAGACCGCACACTAATATTGGTACATAATTGTCAATTTTATTCCGACGCAATTGTCATACAATTTACCGTGTAGGGTCCTGCAAACGCACTACAAACGTCTATTTGAAAGAGCTCTAAGGCCTTATCAAATCCAACCTCTACTACATCTGAAAACCGTTTTATACTTACCTACATTATCATAAAGTTAAATAACACGAAAGCAAAACGTTTTCAACTTATGTTAAAAAATATTGCTGACCCATTTTACAGCCGACCGCAACATGTTTTTACAGCTCCCGCGGGGTGGAATCGGTAAACGGGTCCGGTTCTGCTGGAAGACTTCCCACGGGGCGAGCATGTAGAGCCACGATTAAGGAATCACTCGAAAACATATCGTTCGTTCGTTCGTTCCAGCCAAATGACGTCCACTGCTGGACAAAGGCCTCCCCCAAGGATTTCATAACGACCTGTCCTGCGCTGCCCGCATCCAGGCTCTTCCCACGACGTTCATCTGATCGTCGGTGCTACCATTAAGTGGTAGTGCCTTGCCACTGGCCCGTGGTTGCCACTCGAGAACTTTTCTGCCCCAACGGCTATCATCTCTACGAGCTATGTGCCCCGCCCACTCGAAATACATATCGAAATGTTATTGAACACTGTAGACTATGCAATGGCCCTTCGTAGACAACGTTACACAAATATCTTAGATACTCGACGATTATGGTCTCTAAGCGGCTACCGCAGTACAAATTCATAGATTCGTACACGGGAAACCAATAGAAACTTCACAAAACTAATGATGAAATAAGTTGAACAATTTCCGATGGACATGCTCAGTAAACTGTTCAGAAACTTGTACAGTACCTGCCAAATACTGCCAATAGAAACTAACAATGTTTCTATCAAATAAAGCCGATATAAATAAACATTGATAACGATCTAGTGTTTTAGAAATAATCTAGAGTTGATTCCCAATTTCCCATCATACTAATTCTAATCCCATACTAATATAGAAACTCAATTTCTACTGGAGCAATATTTCAAATCCAACAGTCACTGTTGTTTTTTAGACTACCCCATTGCCTGATTTTACAACAGTATAAATGCAGTGCCTAAGCGACATTATTACATCAAATTTTACACTGCCTACTCAATCTCAGATTAATCTAAAAGCCTGTTCTATTTTTCGTGAATGTGACAATATTTGTTTGCAAGATTGTCAATCTCTATTGGCGCGTAAGAGTAGGCGCACACCGTTGATTTTCAGTTGGCCGATAGTTGTGCCCGATTTTAAATTGTATGAAGAATCGGCCAAATCGAATCGGCGTAGTGTGCGCACTCCCATACATGCCCATACTGATCAACTGCCCGACTAAACTATCGGCCGACGAAAAATCAACGGTGTGCGCCTACTCTAAGTCGTATCGCGCGATTGTAGAATAGAAGCCGGCTCCGGTCGCTGATTTCCCACCGGGAATGCAAATGCGATTCGCTAATGAAAGATATATTATATGTATATTACACTGCAGCCAGCGCCTGATAATTTAGCGGTTCTAAGTCGCGGGTGGATTGAAAGTCTTGCAATTTTTATTTAAAATGCTTGACATAGGCACAAAAGGCATTTGTAGTGACAAACAATAAGTAAGACTTAATGGCAGAAAATTCAGGAATAGCAGGACAAAAGAAACTGATGAAATATGTTTCAATGTCCAATAATACCTATACCTACATAAGTTATAAGCTGTACTTAAGTTGTAAATTTTAAAAACTTTATTTAAAGAATTACAAACATGACAACGCCACAAACCCTAAATAAGCAATCATCTTGAGATCGTCGGCACATGAAGTACAGTAACCGTCCTACCTAAGTAGGTACCTACTTTTACCAAAACGCGGTCTCCATTCAAGAACCTGCATTCGCACACCTGCTGATTCAGTGCTACTACAAAATGACCTGAACAACTTGAATTCATGGTGCTCTAGAAACGACATGTGCTTAAACGTCGATAAGTGCTTTGTTGTTAGGTTTACCAGGAAGAAAAAGCTAACCCCCACTGCATATTTCCTCAATGGGAATCAGCTGTCGGAAGTGGAGCATGCGCGTGACCTAGGTGTTATTCTTGATAACAAATTACGCTTCCATAAGCACATAGAGAATATTGTGAATGCGAGTTTCAGGATGCTTGGTTTTGTCCTGAGAAATTGCAAAGAATTTAGAAATCCATCCACAAAAATAGCTATTTATTCAGCCCTGGTACGAAGTAAGCTAGAATACTGTAGCATCGTATGGAACCCCTACTATGACGTGTATCGGAAAAATATAGAAAGAGTTCAAAAGCGCTTCCTTTGGCATTTATCATACAGCTGTAACATGGCTAAAAAGCTCCCAAGCTACTCCGACAGGTTAAAGCATTTTAAGCTTCAGTCTTTGGAAGATCGAAGAAATCTGATGGATCACTTGTTTCTCCATAAGCTGGTTAATGGTGTCCTTGATGCGCCTAACCTTCTGTCGCAGATCAATATTCGTGCTCCCTCGCGTGGTATTCGTCTAGCTTCTTACATGCCCTTCGTTCAGAGAAATTCATCTTCGCGTCAGGGACTCCAGGCACCACTTAATAGGCTAGTGACTAATTATAATAAAGTACACAAACATGTCACAAACAACATGGGTTCGCTCAGTGACTCATCAAGCGAACTGATTAATGTGGATATATTTTTAAGCAATATATCAAAATTCCGTAAAGGACTAATTTTGCTGCCTTGATTGTCTTTTCTAATTTCTAATTTATATATTTAACGCACTATAGTATGATCATAATTTAATTTCATAAAAGTATTTTTTTTGCAAAATTATTGTAAAATTACTAATTTATTGTTATTTAACTTAGGTATTTCAATTTAAAATTTACTAATGTTCTGTGCTACGTTAATTCAATTTCTTTTGTGTAACGCCTATAATTAAGATAGCACTTAACCTATTATATAAGCATGTATAATATTGTCTAAAATGGTGTATGTCTTGTTGGTGTTAATAAATAAATAAATAAAATAAATAAATAAATAAATAAATAAAACCCGTTAATTTTAACTTTAACCTCATGAGGTTATAATATGTATGAGGTTCAACATAAATTGGGGTTATAGGTAAATCTCTGTAAATCTAATGAACATTTTTGCAGGAATAACAAACAAATTCCACTTACGCACAAGAACCACCTCCCAGCAGCGTCCAATAACGGGAAAACCAGAACAGCTTCTTACAGTTCATAATTATTTTCAAAAAACACTGCACGTAAAATATTTTGTTGTCACGTCACACCATGTTTTTAAGATTTTTTTTATAACGTGAGGGTGCTAAATGTGCAAGTGGCAATTGGCCAAAAAATTGCATTTTATTTTGCCCTTTTTTCCTATTTTCCCGACTAGTAGCGCCCTCTCCTGTCAATTTCTGGAAGCACCGTGGTTGTTGTAAAAACGAAAAGAAAGTTATAAAATTTTCCGAAGGTTTTCAAAGAAAATGAAACTAAATTAAAAAATAAATTAGATCTAAAAATTATTATTAAAAAAAATCTTTCTGTCGAGAGGAATGAATCTTCATTTATTATTGTCGCTATTATTTATCAATGTAGGTAGACAAGAGTCAAATTAAATACTGTATTCTTAATTCCTTAAATGAATGACAAATTAAAATTGAATTTAGAATAATATTGTTCTATTAAGTACTATTGTACTTGTTCGGGATGCCTGCTTATTTTAAAGCACAGATTTATTAATTAGTCAAATAAAATAACTTTACATGTTTTATGTTAAAATAAGTACTCAATACATCGATTATTGTGTAAATTGTTTACACAATTAAGTATTTATTATAGTTATCATTAAAATCAAGTTCTTTACAAATAAACTTCTTTAGTGGCCCTTACATTTCTAAGAGCCGGAACCAATTATCTACTTGCTCATTTAATATCCATTTATCGGCACATGATATAAATTGGATTGATATTGATTAGCTGGTACAAGAGCGTAGACATTCTGGCCATAACCGCCAACAACAGGATTCAAAATAACACCCTGTCCCGAAGTTATTGGGTAATTTGGAGCTATTTGTCCATTGGAAGGGACTCCATTTGCCAAAACGTAGCTCACTGTCACGCCATTTGACACGTATGGAACGCTCGTAAAGAGAGGCTGGGAGTTTGGAAGAACAACATTGCCATTAGGTTTCACACCTTGGTTGGTCAGCGGAGCTAAAGGTAAATAATTCCCATGAGTATGTTTGCGTCGTGACATCAACATCAAAATATTGCCCAGGCCATAACTTTCTGGGTCTGTCAATAACTGAGCTGGGACGAAAATAGGACTCTCTGATGATTTTGGTGGAGATGGTTTCTCTTCTGCTTTTTCAACACTACTCAATTTGTCATTTGGTTTTGATTCTTTTCCTGCCTTATCTTCTATCCCTTTTTTGTCTAAATTTTCTACTTTAGGGAATATGATAGCGTCAGCATATTTATTAGTCTTTACCAGTTTCTCGTCATGTGGATTTGGTGTTACAATAGTTGAAGAAATCTTAAGTGGAGCTTTTAAGCTCTCTTCCCCTCTAGATTTTTCTACTTTAATATCTTCAATGTCATCTGTTATTTCGCTAACCTTCTCTTTTTTCTCACTCTCTATTCCTACGATCTTCTCTTCATCATCTGCCTTTCTTAAATTCTCCTTTTTTACTAGAATGTCATCATCATCGTCCTTTTTGTTAAGTCCAAACCAGTTTTCAAGCTTTTTTATTGGTCCTCCATCGTTCACTTGAAAAGCCCAACCTGGATATCTCATTGGCGTGTATCTTTCACTTTCTTCTAAATGGAAAAATTTAATAAACTCTTTTGGTGGTTTAATATCGAACACGGGTAATTTCTTTTCATATAGATCATGGCTCTGATCAGATGAGTCTTTGTCTTTATCGTCGTTATGAACATCTCCCTCATCTCCTAGATGAAATAGGTCCAAGAATGCTTTGGGCGGAGTCATCTCGAAAACTGATGGGTCAAAGAGGTCAGGCAAACTCGTAGTTACAGTCGAGGACTCTGTCACAGATTTAGGAAGTTCCTCTTTATCTTCAGCTGTACTATCAGACGCTTCCTTAGGTGCAAGCGGTGGTGGCAATTCAGATGTAGCTATCTCCGGAAGAGCTTTCGATTTTTCTTGTTCAGTTTTAAGCATTTTATCAGAGTTGGAAGAATCCTTCATTGGACTGACAAGAACTTCTTTATCTTTAGCTACACTGTCGCCACTATCCTTTTCTTTGAATTTGAATAGTTCTAAAAACTCTTTGGGAGGCTTGATTTCAAATACAGAAGGATCTGGGAGAGATTTTAAATGTCCGTTATACATTGCATCAACATAAGATTTCATTGGATTAATGAGATTTTTGCTGTGGTCCGGTTTGAATAGGTCCATAAATTGTTTGGGAGGTTTCATCTCGAAGACGCTTGCATCGGGCAGGGTCTTCATCTCGTCCGCTACGCAGAAGCTAGCGCTCGCAAGCACCAAGGTGGCGAATATAACACCATTCTGAAAAACAACGTTTAGATAATTATTTTGATAAAAATCTTGTTCATCCAAGTTACAAAATGTGTGTCCTTTTAGGTATAATATCTTCTTTTTAATCGACTGTACACCGCTATATCATTGCTATTATCATCAGTGGTTTGCGGTCATTAAATGTCAAGTTTATTTGAATCTACATTCAGTGATGAGACAACAAATAAATCTACACTAAGTATCCACGCTATTTCACGAAGGCCCAGAATCCTGACCTTACATGTCGATTGGCTCGTAACAAAATTGTTGGTAACACATTTTGTGAAGTATTAACTTGTTTATTGGCGGAAAGTTTCGCTCGACAAATGACCCAGGAGTGTTTAACAACTGCTAACAACTCGCGCGGACGAAATATCTCATTGTGAGAGTTAGGGGTTGATGGAAATTGGAATCGATAGCAAATAATAAAAGTAATCGTGGTACCGATATGGATGTAACTATTTTTTCTATGACTTCTAGTAATTAAAACTTAAAAGTATTGCACTATAAACCAGTTTGCGTCGATAATAATGGAATGCAGATTTCTCAGAATACAGATTCTGTATTCTTTCAGATTTAAAAATAATTTAAAAAATCTATAAGGGTTTCGTTTTTTTATTTTTTACATGTGGCTACGGAACTTTAGTTAACGTTATAAACTTAAATGTATCTCTGTTGCTATGGTACGATTTCATTGCAATTTAAATGCTAACTTTAACACGTATTAATAATTATTTACAGAAGCGATTCAACATAAACAGAATATTATCATCTCAAACTATTCCAATATGATAATGTCTTCCTCTTTGTTTAACTATCCCTAACAAATATTATTAAATGCCACACAAAGAGAAAAAACATCGACAAAAAAGTATCGACACCGCAACACTGATCGAAACAAAAGCAAAAGAAAAGTTCGGCGAGGACTCGAATAGTTTGCGACTGGAAGAAGTCGACACTCCCCCGGGGGTTGTCGGAGGTTTCGTTACAACGCAGGAGTGACGTAGATGCGTGACAAGTGTGACAACAGGTGAAATGTACTACGGACAATGATAAGTCAAGTCAAGGTAAACACTGCGGCACCTTATTGGCTGAGAAAGGTGAGATTTTGCAACAAATCTCTAAATTCTGATGTACTGGCGACTATACACAAAGGAAAATGAAAATGTTTGTCAAAAAAATTCAGGGAGAAAATGTTGCTTGTTTCCGCACCATCATAACTTATTAGGTATTCAGGTTTTGCTAACAGAGGTGGAATGTGTAAAGCAATCGTAATCATTTGACAGTTCATAACGTACGATAAAGTCAGTTAAACAAAGCGTTTGTTTGACAGAATAATCGTACGTTATGAACTGTCAAATGATAACGATTGCATTACACAATTTCACCTCTGGTCTAGGGTCACCAAAGGGTCACATTGTTACACTTGCTTCACAAACACAAAAATAGATTAGTCTTTTGTAAAAATAATAAAAGAACTCATACACACCTGTCTGAACAAATCCATGATCGTTCCACTAATGGCCGAAACTCGGGCTGTCCATCAATTAAAAAGTAATTTATATCGGAAAATCTTTGGGAATTGACGTGTGTGTCAAACGTCCGAAGAGGCGATAATATAAGTTTAATTCGTTGGGCATTTAAGCAAGATACATTCGTCATAGGACTGCTTGTTGAAATCCGGATTTTAATTAGGTGTTAAGTACCTACTTAGCTACAAATTAAAATCCTATGCATGCATAGGATGTAGGGGAGACTGCGGTGAGTTGTAACAGAGGAGAGTTGTGACCAACGAGCTCGCTAGTTATAGCCTGACCAGGAACATAAAAACCCTGGCATAGAGGCGCTTCAATAGCATTTGATAGTGCAACACTGAGTACAGTCGTACCTGTGTTAAATTAATAAGCTAACTTTATGTATCAGAATTCAGGATTACGGGCTAATTTGATATTTTCATAAATTAACGAAAAAATATTATTAAAGGTAACCTGGTTTAAATAAATTAAATGAAACCATCAATCGAGCTAGTAGGATTTATTTTATTATTCATCAATAATCAATTCAGAGTTTGAATATTCAACTGCAATGTTTGCTCATGAACGCTTCAAACTCGGTACTTCTTTCCCAATTCCATAAAATTCAACACTTAGAAATTGACAAAGATTTTTAAAATAGGTAGTTGAAACAAACCACAGCTGATTTTCATAGTGGACTGTACTATGCGATAAACATGTCAGTCAATTTGACAACCTTTGTCGGAAACATTATTCAATGAAAATATTGTCCGAACACTTAGTATTTCTCTTCGACAAATACTTTAACACATTGTGAGCCACTTTTCTTTCACGACTATAAAAAGATTTTAGCAATTTAATTCACAAAATCATTGCGCACATTTAAAATAAAGTTTGTTTACACTTTGACAGCAATAGACTGACATGCAAGGTGACATGTCAATGAAGTTTTCAGTTACTGTTGCCATTAAAAGAAATTAGTACCTTTAGTTTTCCGCAACATGGCGAGGGTTTTTATGTTCCTGGTCAGGCTATAATAAGTTCCAAAAAATCGACAAAATCTCTCCTATGTTACAACTCACCACGGTCTCCCTCAACATTATCTTCATTTAGGTTTGAGTTTTGACCACAATTTAAAATACATGACAGAAGATCAGAATATTCGCTCTCCTTGTATGCAAGTGAATATCTTCCACGTTGTTTAATTTTTTTTCTAGTAGAATTGAGTTTTTCCAGATACTTAGATTAAATAAAACCACATAATATGTTGAAAGGCTAATTTTATTCAGTCTCAGAAATCGTAAACTACTAACAATTATGTACATATTTACAGAGAAACTTATATTTAATGACCCATTTGCTTAAAATATTATTACAAACTAACATGCAAAAAATATATTTATTATAGCTAAAATAAAGGTAGCATTCGGAGTCCGGTATACAACGCCAAGTAAAGTTTTATGTAGGTAGTTACATACAATTTATTGCAACAGACAGAAAACATAAATATTTAATAGTACCTAAATGAAGTGGATGATTCACAATAATTGGAGTTGATGATTTATAAAGTAACGGTACATTGGTATCTGCTTTTTTGGATATTTTGGTAGTTAACATATTTGTCACAAAACGCGTCATTTATTGTTCTTTATAGACAAAGTCATTTTGTTGAAACATACCTACATAGAAGTTATATTACAACAATAACGAGAATGTTCTGTTTATTTATCAGCTATTAATTTTAACAGCTATCGATACTAAAATTGCTTTGAGAAATGTTCAAACTCTAAATCAATCTTAATCAGTTTTTCAACTTTTCTTACTTCCAAAAATGTACACCTGACAAAATCAGAACTAAAGTATTGATTTGTGACCGATACAATTAAAAACCGTTTTAAATTTTGTCGGGTACCTATCCCTGATACAAAAAACTTCTGTCTTGTCTGAACAACCATTAGATCCACCTACTGCTGCGGCCGGATCCTGACCTGGTCCGTGAACCGGACGCTGCAGGGCCGTATCGCCATGTTGGGGCGCAGGAAGCTGCTCAGCGTCGAAGCCTGCGCCGGGCGGTCGAACGGGAAGCCCATGGCGCGCCGGTCCGGGTACTTCCGGTCGCGGAGGCCGCAGTACGAGGCTGCGTCGTTGCAAGAGCCTGACGTGTCTTGCAGGATCTGCAACATTCATAGGATAGAGTAGGTATTTCTGTTTTACTAAAGGCCATTCGAGGCCAAGTTCCAATTATTTCAGCGTTGATACCAAGACAAACATTACTACGAGGTCTCACAGTGGTGAGACACGAACCAATCACAGAGCTCTATGCGTTCCATTTGCTGCTTTACTTAAGCAAGCATCTTTTGTGAATACGGACGAAATATTCCTCTGATTAAATTTGACCGAGAGAATGAAAGGTAGGTTTTCATCCAGCAACAAGACCCAAAGTATCACCTTCATTAATACGGTGGCTGGCAATCAAACCTCTGCATCTCATGAAAAATCTCCTACTTGTCAACTTTAACCTGCCCAATGAGTTTGCTACTGTAGCCGCCAGCGACCACAATAAAAATCGTCTTCGAATCGAAACAATGAATGTTTGCAGCCGAAGCCACAAGCAACTTTCAGCACAGAAACACCACATTGGTCATCATAATAGAAACAGGAATGTGGCCCTGACAAGAGCCGTTGCATAGCTCTGAGAAGAGCTGTTTCGTTGTGACCACTGCACGTCGCACCGTCCCTCATCGCAGCACCAGCACCGCTCGCACCACTGTCACCAAGCAGCATCACCAACGCCCACGCGTGGAGCGGCGAGCCGCGTGGGCACGCGCCGCGTCGCGCTCCGGTACACGCGTGCGTCCTGCGCCGCTGCCCGCCGTCGAAAAGATCGAGGCTGGGGGCAGCGGGCACTCCAGTCGACACCTCCCCTCGCACTCCGCGCGCGCGCCGCGCGACAAGGAGGTAGCGTGAGAGCGAGACAGAAGACTCGCGCCGCACTCGGAACACTGCGCGAACCCGGTGACAGAGAGACATCGTGGGAGCGAGACGACAAGAATATAACATCAAACGGCGATTGGTCAAAATGTATGGTTGCTTAGGTAGTCTAGTTGTACATAAGTTTTGTAAATAAATATGGCATTGTTTCGCCAATAAATTATTCCCTTCTGAACCAGCAATTGAGTTTTACTTCAACTACCTCTCCTCAACACTGAAAAGTAGGAAGGCTACACACCACACACCAAACTTAGCCCTCCTACAGTGGTGACCCCGTCTGAAAACTGAACATGGAAGAACAACAAGCAACAACGGCGCAAGAAGTATCGGGCATTGCATTGTCCATGCGTGTGTAGCCTTCCTACTCTACCAACCAGAATACAGTTTTTCATCATTTCAGCCACAGGACGTCCACTGCTGAACATAGGCCTCCCCCAATGACTTCCACATCGCCCGTTTGGTAGCGGCCTGCATCCAGCGCCTTCCTGCTACCTTTATCAGGTCGTCAGTCTACCTTGTGGGTGGACGTCCCACGAACATAGTTTTTATTGAAAGAAAATTGCCAAACCTTTAGCAACTTCTCGAGAGTTGCAGTGGTTATCGCTCACATAGTGTGTAATATAAAAAAACAAGCTTAAATAACTTACGCGATCGTCGTTCCAGTTGGACACCATCACGAATAGCACCATGGGGTACCCTCGCGCGGTTCCCTTGGGGAGCAGCATGTGGTGCGGCCAACCGCAGCCGCAGAAGTCGAACTCCGCCGCGGTGGCGGAGCCCGGGTCTCCAGGGCGCTTCGTCTGGTCCATGAAAGTCCGCTCGTAGGGGATGGTCACGGAGGAGTCGACGCTGCTGCGACGGACTGTGTTATTGCCTGTATTCACTGGGGAGATGAGGGTATTATTAGAAGGGTAGCTAAGAGGTTCTTCCGTCACTATTCTTAGGAATTTCAGGAACAGATATGGATCCTTTCCTGAAGTAGGGAATCATGGAAAGTATGAAATTATGTATCTCAAAAGGGTTCCAGTATTGGTTCAAGTGCGTAATTTTAAATGTATTCGCCCTAGGTCGTCGTTTCAGCCAAATAACTTCCACTGCTGGATAAAGGCTTCCCCCAAGGTTTTCCACAATGGACGGTCCTGCGCTGCCCGCATCCAGGCTCTTCCAGCGAATTTACCAAATCGTCGGTCCACCTTACAGGAGGTCTGCCCACGCTACGTCTTCAAGCCCGTGGTCTCCCTAGGTACATTTGTGTAATCGAGTACACATCTTTTCTTTACTAATATTATAAATGCGAAAGTAACTCTGTCTGTACTCTGTCTGTCTGTCTGTCTGTCTCGCTTTCAAGCCTAAACCACTGAACCGATTTTGATGAAATTTGGTATAAAGATAGTTTGAGTCCCGGGAAAGGACATAGGATAGTTTTTATCCCGGTTTTTGAAACAGGGACGCGCGCAAAAAGTTTTTCTGTCACAGACAAAAGTCCACGCGGGCGAAGCCGCGGGCGGAAAGCTAGTATGTTATAACTAAGTTATAAGCCTACTAATATGGGCTACTCACGTGGCTGCGAGAACTTGTCGAGCTCGATGAAGAGCCGCCTCTGGTCTGCGAAGCTGAGAGGCTGCCCGCGGTCGTCGTTCACCGGCGCGATGAAGATCCGGAACATGCCCGTGGTGGATCGCCCGGTGGAGTTGTTCACCTCGATGCTACAAACGGTGAACACAATATTATGATCATCATCATCGTCGTCATAGAACACAGAACTTCTAGACGACTGAATGGCGCAGAAAAGCTGGAGCTAATGCATGTAACCAGTCATGTAACCACTGCTAGCTACCTTCGCAATAAGTAAACGCATTATACAGGGTGGAAACGTTAAGTGATCTCAGTCGATTATTTCTAAACTATACAAGATATCGAAAAACTGATTACTGATTCTGATAGTGTTTCACAAGCTCTTTCAAACGGTACCAATAATAAGTTGCATAATAAACTGAATCTATCCGAAAATTCAATGTTTCCAGCTTCCATACATTTAGGAAAACCACATAATATTAAAAACTATACAAAATATTCAAAAACTGGTTACTGATCCTGAAAGTGCTTCACGAGCTCTATCCAACGATACCAATAATAGGTTATAAAATAAACTGGATCCATCCGAAAATTCAATGTTTCTATCTTCCATACATTTAGTACAGCCACAGTCATGGCACTCATGTCTTGATAATATTATAGCAAGTAAAGCCTAAAACCAACGTTTTCCATGAATAATTTTAAATAAGAATGCAATTTGCGAGTTCATTTTAAGTGTTTATTATTTAATAAAAACAAATACTTCAAATATTGTTTGGCTGGCATACATTTAGTATGGAGGCTGAAAACATTTAATTTTCGGATAGATTCAGTTAATTCTGTAACCTATTATTGGTACCGTTGGATAGAGCTCGTGAAGCACTTTCAGGATCATTAACCACTTTCTCGATATCTTGTATAGTTAAGAAATAATCGAATGAGATCACTTATCGTTTCCACCCTGTATTCAGAACTTAGGTCTTTTCTATCCTTATGGACTACCGTGTAGTCAATATACAATCAATCTATACCTACTATCAGGGCCTCCGCCGCCTGCTCACTTTTCAGTAAATATTCTAGTAAGCGCATCTAGGGCATAGAACTATGCCTGTCCTAAAACAATAATAATAATATGCCTGTCTCTGATTGGTTGCGCACTTTACTACATTTTACTACAACCAATAGGAGGCAAATTGGTACATTGGACATTAAGAACTTAAATGAGCCTTGACCATTATAAACCCTTACTCCTTATTGGTGGTGATTCTTGATCTGTGACGTTTATTACACTTACACATAAGTGAACTCCTCGTGCGTGAGGTGGGTGAACTGTGCCAGCACGCTGCCCCTCGGAGTGAAGTCGAGTCCCCTGGCCAGGTCCACCGTGCTCTGCTCCCACTGAGTGCCGAAGGTGTTCCTACCGGCGGGACCCTCCACGCTGATAGAAGACACGCGGATACCAGGGAAGTCCAGCTAGAGAGAAATAATGAATGTCTTATGTGATCCAACAACTTAGACGCCCCTCAAAGTAATAGACTTCAGTCATCCGATAAAACATTAAATGCATGTGTGTTTTGAAATGGGGTGGTGTGCCACGGTATTTCCCAGCATTGCGCACCCTTCTGAGCAATAGCGAACTCGAGTCGGTGTTTCCTCAGGGGGATGTGCGATGCCAATAGCAAGGGCGCCCGTAAAAGACCAGCTTCTTGATATGCTTTTAAGTAAAGGCATGTCAAGATAAATGCTGAGCGGGAGCCTATTGGCGCAGTGGCTTTGTAATGGTTCTTCGTTTTTATTTATCTTTTATTCTCATTGTGTTGTTGCTGTATAATAATAATATGTTTATGTTATTGGGTCAATAAAGTTTTCTATCTTTTATCAATCTATCGATTATTTGGTTGAGCTGTTAATCAGTATGAACATTAGGGAAATCATCCAAGGCAAGAAATCCTCATACAAATTAGAACTCCCGTATTTCAAGTATGGTAACATCATTTCAACACTTACCCTGTCAGCGCCATACTTCGGCAGCTTAACCTTGTGCATGTTGAAGATGTCATCAACGTACGCGTGCCAGCGGTAGAAGAACGGGTCTCGCATGGCGGTGGCCGAGTCTCCCATCACGCCGTATTGCTCCTGGAAGAGGAAGACGGAAATTAATGAGGGCTATCGTTTTTATACTTAACAGTTGGCACCCCTGGCGATTGACAGGACCTTACTCTACAGTGGCGCCATCTTGATGAGTGCAAATACGATAGTCCTCCTACCACTTTAGCGCTCACAAGTTGGCGCCACTGTTTTCGCTACTAGCAAGTGACAGGACCTTACTCTACAGTGGCGCTAACTGGTGAGCGCTAAAACGATAGCGCTCATTGAAACCAATTCATATCAACATAAATTGTTCCTGCTGCAAAAAAAAATGGGCGAAATTTTGTGTCGGTTGCCTGACGCGAAGTGGTGCCGTGTCGGTCGTTGTTAATGCGTCCAGCACGGTGGCATGCGTGGATCCAATCCCAGTGCCTTGAAGAGTGCTAGACTAAATTGGTCTGAGCATGAAAAATTAATAAATAAGACAAATCAAGTCATAAATGGCCTAGACCGTAGACAATGTATTATTTAAAAGTAAAGCAAGAGGAGAGAGAAAATATTGTTTATTTACCAAGTGGCGATGGTCAGGGTCGTGAGCGTACGAGCAGAAGACATGGCCCATGTTGTGCAGGTCCCCATAGTAGCCGCGGTTACGGCTCAGGATAGACGACTCCATCAAGTTGCCGAGCACATCAATTCCTGTCTCCTCAGTAAGAGGCACCTTGCGGTTTCCAGGCTGATGGAAAAGAGTTAAGCACATGACTGCTTGTATCTGCTAAATAATCAAACTGTTTGATCTGATCTGACCGATAACACAGCTACATACCACTAGTACAGCGTTTTCTTCAATAGCCTGGAGGAAGCGATCCCTCCATCTCTCCAGCTCGGAGACTTCAATCCTGATCCGGTCAACAGGACGGTCCAGATCGCGGAGGATCGAACCCGCGAACCTGTGGGAAAAAAACATGATGCTTGATTAGGTGCTTCTATAGATAAACATAATCGAAGCAAACCTTCAAGTTTTAATACCATTGTAAAATATAATTTATCTTGATATACCTTGGAGGCCAAGCACGGCTGGCGACTTGGGAGTCCAGTTTGGGGAAATAAGCCTCCGCAATGGGGGCTCGGAAGTTGGTGTATCGCTCCACGCGGCCCAGCCCGTTGCAGAAGCGCTCCACATTGTATCTGAGAAGGCAGATTTGGTGCTGTTACGTAACAAGAAAGATAAAAGTTCCTAATTAAGGGTATTTTGTCAGAAATTCAGAATTTTGGCTAACTGGATTTAGATTATTCGCTAGACTTGATTGCATTCTATTGAAGAAATAGACCAGAAAATACAGAAGTAAAGTTAAATATCGAATTGGCTTTTGTAAGTACTCTTTTGTTGTGTTGTATCTTACCTGGCAATGATCTGCTGGTGCATATAATAGAAGAGTTCTCCCCTCCTGTCCTTGTTGACGATGGCGAAGTCGGCTTCGAAGGGATACACCAAATGCCAGTGCCAGTGGTGCAGGTTGATGCCAATGTCCTCGCGGAAGTAAGCCACGCGCTGCTCGGGCTCCGCGTCTGAGGCTGTGTAATTCTGCTCGATCACGACCGGCATCTGAAGTTTGTAATGATGACTTAGGCCTGGTTTCCATCAAGGCGCGGAGCGGAGAAGAGAAAAGAAAATCATAAGAGTCGGGCGGACGAATTTAACAGCAACGGAGGCGCGGTGTGGAACGGAGAAGAGATGGTTCTTCAAAACGCTTTTCTGCACTGCTCCGCTCAGGTCCGTTCCGATTAGCAATAAAACCGCCTCTGTGGTCTAGTGGTAAGACCACCTGCTTCAGACGCAGAGGTCCCCGGTTCGATTCCCAGTAGGGGCAGATTTTTCTGTTCGATTTGGCTTGTTCTAAATCTGCCTGGCTAGCTACCACCATCTTACCTAAGTCTGTCGCCATAACAACAGTGTTAACAGCATTATTGTGTTCCGGCAGTTAGAGGTAAGATAGCCAGTTCCTCCGTGGACTCGTGGTTGAGGATTCCGGGTGAAGCTCGCTTCCACCTTCGGCCTGATCGTCACTTACCATAAGGTGAGATACAGGCCAAGAGCTTCCTCGTTGTGGATAAAAAAAACACCGCCTTGGTGGGAACCGAGCCTTACTTGTTGTTCTTGAATGACGTAACAGAAAATATAAATCAATAAAAAGTCTCACCCTGGGGCCTGTCGTCACGACGTTAGACACCTCCCTAGCCCTGCGGAACACCTTGGGGTCCATGAACTTGTCTGGGAAGGTTTGGACCACAGTGGGTACGTTGAAACCCTTGGTGTCGTCTCTGGAATTGTCAAACAAAGGTTAACGGTATTTTGTGACTCTTGGAAGTTCCAAATATATGAGGTGACAAAAAACTCATACCTGTGCAGAAGTGCAACTGCGAGGCAGTAGTTGAACATGTAAGGGTTGATATGCAGCTGGCAATATGAACAAACCGAAGTGAGATCCTCTATGTTGCGCATGCCTGTAGAAAGACAGAAGTCTCTTTAATCATAGGTAACGTTACGGCTCTAAATCCTTGCTGTGACTTCAAGCACCCAGATAAGCCTTGAAAAAAGCTCAATGAATCGATAACGAAAATGTATGTAGCCAGAAAAGCCACAGTAAGCTAGGGAAAAGACGAAAGAACCCGAACGCGTGGCAGGTCACTAAAGCGCTGGACCGACCAAGTGAAAGCAGCAGTGGGAGACGGCGCATGTGACTGCACCAGACAGTCTGCCAATAGAGAGAGATGGAAGGAGATCGTGCGGAGAGTTGTATCCGCTTCTACAACCGATGTGAACAACGCCTCAACATGATCACGACCGCTCTGCCAAGAGCGTAACGAATAAGAAGAAGAAGAAGCTAGGTAAGACAAAAAAACATAAGTAACTGTAAATGCACTTAAAAACAAACAACTTACCGACAAGGGTGTCGATGAGGCTGCCAGCCATCTCCCTGTGCTTCTGGATGAAAAGCGAGAACTGCTCGTTGTAAGGCAGCTGCTTCGGCAGGCTCAGGTCGGGCAGCCCGATGTTGGAAACCTGAACGATCCTGGCGTCGTCGGTCCCGAAGCGGTCCGACAGCGTCGTGCTCAACGCCTTGTATTTGTCCGGCTGGAATGTAGGAATAGTCAACTGTTACTGTAGATCTTTGCTTGCTTATAGAGATTTGCAACGAACCTTAACCTGGAACTCCTCCTATGTTCTTCTGATTAATTTCGTTGCGAGTCCAATGACAGTTTAACGTTCCCCCGGGACAAACTTGACCTTCACTGGTTGGGTTTTTATTGGCGGTGAAGCTGTAGATCCTGGCTACACAAGAGTTGCAGCGGTGGGCAATAAAGGTGGGAATAGGCCCGTGTAGATCTACAAAGGTAACAGGAAGGCGCTGGATGCAGGCCGCTACCAACCGCTTAATGTGGAATTCATTGGGAGAGGCCTATATTCAGCAGAGGACGTCCTGTGGCTGAAATTGTGATGATGATGAATCTACTACAATAGTTCCTCATAGTCGTTTTCTTCATTACTGAAGGTGTCCTTGTGGGTTTCACAATCTAAAGTCAGTACGTCTACATTTAAAGTCAGCACACAGAGGCGGGTAGGCCGCTAAGCGATCCGATAGGGATCCATCGCTAAGCTTTAAACGCATCGCGCCGTACGCTTTCTATGTCACTGATTACAAAAAATATCGTCCCGGATCGCGTCCCCTTTCGCGCGCTATCCGCCCCTGTGTGCGCTGACCTTTAGGCAAAGCCTTAAATGAAAAGGTAGTTCTTACGTAGTAATGGTCGGGCAGCTGGAAGACAGTCTTGTCGTCGCCCTTCTGCATGAAGCAGGGCTCCGTGGGCCGGTCGAAGAACAGCATCAGGTTCCTTCTGGCTTCGTCTGCCATCTTGACGACTGGAACACAAAAACTTCGTAACCATTACATAAGCACTGAGAATGTTACAGAGGTGAATTGTAACAAAGCCAATTTGTCTAAACCTATGATAGTTAGTGAGCTGAAAACTTAACGCGTACTGTGGAGTGTCGAAAGAGCAAGGAATTTGCGAAGTCGCTAGCTTGATAACATGTCTTAGGTTCAGATAATTGATTTTGTTACAACCCACCTCTGTTACAACTGTCCTCGACCTCCCCTACTGTGGAAAATTATATTGTTGACATTCCACCAGCTCACACTAAGCGTTTCGATTACTCTTTTATAATGCGAACAGCTAGGGACTGGAATTCGCTGCCTGCTGCTGTCTTTCCCGAAGACTATAAACCGGGCCTTTTCTAGGCGAGAGTGAATAGGCACTTACAGGGCAGATATGTACCACTTAACATCAGGTACGATTGTGGTCAAATAACTGTCTTGTTAAGCATAAAAAAGTGAAAATCGCAGATCGCTTTTAGAGCTTTTTTAACGTAAGCTACGAACAAGTTCCAAAAGAAAACACTTACCCAAAAACTAATCCAGGTATCCAAACTAAAAAAACTTTAATATCAAGCCGTGTTGTTCACGGCTAGACTGTGAAAGTTCAGCGTTGTCCTGCGCATTTATACTCCACCAACCCCGGGTGCAAAAGGCCCCGTGTGCACGACAATAACTAGGAATACTTTCATAGTTGATTACACGGTTTTGTGGTTTCCTATGGGTTTTTACATTGTATCGTTGGTAAATAATAGTTACAATGTTTAGTTTAGTTGATCGATAATATGGTAGATAGGTACCTACTTCCTTACCTTATCAACACTGTCATACAATGTTTCATTGAAAACCACAACTGCAATGTATTTGTAAAATACTCGTAAATTACTATGACATTAAAATCGCGTAAAGTTCAGTGCATTTTATATAAATACGGAACTCTTACGTCTCTGTCTGTGTGAACTTATACCTAACTAAAATAAATAATTTAGTTATTGTCTTATAGTGAAAACCCTTAAGATAAGTACAAAAATGTTTCTTTTAATTGAGAAAATACGTACAAACTTAACGAGTGTTTTTTCCAAAGGGTCATAAAAACTCATTTATTTTTGCAAATAGGCTTTTATAAAGCACTTTTACACGTCCCAGTATTAACCCTACCACTGGTTCGGGACAATAAATGGGTTGAATCTGAACCTATGAGGATATCATACACCGAAAAATTCTGAAAGAAGTACGAGTAGGTAGTTAGTTACTTCATACGTGCTGATTTTACAAAAAAACTAAAAGATGTTTTCTACGATAATCATCATTATTTACGTCACTAACTTTAGATAACCAAAAGATTGTTCCAACATCATTAGGATTTATAAAAGTATTTCCTTGGACATAGGTCTAACCGCCTGCTCTATCTAATCTGTGGACATTTCTGTGGCGGCCCGTGGCGTGTCATAAAACTTCTAATTTTAAAAAAATGTGGCGGGTACTTGAACGGAAAACACGTAGACCGTGTTTTTATCGATGATATGATTTCAAAAATTAAAATTGGGTTGATTAGTGATATGTGAAGTGATTTACGAATAATTTGGAACGTAAATAGGAAGAAAGATACAATTTATTGTTGTTATTGTTCTTGGCGGCAAAGTGTATACTGCAGTCATCAATTTAATGTTATTTTTATAAAAATAACGCGTGTAAATCCGCTTTTTACAACAAACCAAACAGTGCAACATGACTTCGAAATCGAATTCAAGGTAAGCAGTGTCATCTCATTCGTGATAAATGTATTACGATAAAATAAACCTAAAACTGTAGAAAAATACAATTAACTTGACACTTGCTTCATTAGTGCAGACCGCACGAGTAACCATTTAATATCTTGTTTTTTTACCGTTCCAAATTCAAATTACCATCTTTTTATAATGTATACGGACACTAAATAACTGGCAGCATGTATGCCTGCCTTATTCCAAGCTAAATTTAAAAAAACTTTTTTGCAATCAAAGAGGTTGAATAATATTTTATTTTTTGTTGTAATAAAAAAAAAAATTTTTACTCTCTAATCTGTGAATCAATCAATGAGTTGAGTTTGAATCGGTATTTGAGCTGAAACTGGCCTAAGCCCAAGAGCAGCTGGTGCACGGGGTAGTTTAACTTAGCTCGCATAGCACGCAATTTCAGACTGTGATTTTAGTTTGCGATTTGCTTACACAACTATGGAAAACTACGTCAGCTACGAGCTAAAAACTAACTTAGCTTGACTCTTGCGCCCGTATTCACAAACGATGCTTGCTATGTGAAGCAACAAATCGAACGCACAACGTTGAATAGGGCTCTGTGATTGGTTCGTGTGTCACCCTGTGCGTCCACGCGCACTGTGAAACCTCATAATAATGTTTGTAAATACGGGCGTTGTTGGTTTGCAACCCCCGGAGTCGTATTCCGCTTTATTTTTTTATAATTACGTATCTTTAGTGAACAGGCAGCTAAAATTGTTCAAGAAAATCTCAACAGGTGGATGAAAAAACTCGAGTAAATATTATTAGTAACAAAAATCATGTTGGAGAATTATTAACAGTATTTAAATTTTAAGTGCAAAGATCTCAATAACTAAGCAGGTAACTAAGTAAATTCTTACTTGTTGTTTTACTAATGCAGCATGGGCCCCAAATGCATTAGGAATTTAGGACTCAAAATTCTGCTTCTATTCTTTCTTTATTTTTCATTGCTTTTGGCTTATCGGTTATTTAGGATACAATAAGTTAGAGTAATTTTTCGATATTAAGAAAAAAAGGAATCGTCTCAAAGGCAAATGACTTCGATGAAAAGTCTAAACACAGTAGGTGTACCTACCTACAATAACCCCCCTAACCTAGTTTGTTTTTAACTAGCTTTTTCAGATCTTCCAAACAGGTTCTAAAAGTAATCAAGTGAGAGTTTCTCAGATCAAGTTATTCTTATCTCTGGTTCTGTATTTCCTAACAATTTCCTTAAAAAGCGAGGGTGAGGTTAGGAATTCTTACTATTAGGTACAAGTTATATGTAATTTAATTTAATAAGAAAATATCACAATTTAATATTTCTCAAATCTCAGATTATCCATGATCAAAGGACTCCACCATCAAGACCAGGAGCTGGTCAGATTCAATTTCAGAACTTGACTAGAGCTTTATTACATCTGTTTTGCTCTATTTGTTTATTTTAGCGCTAGAATAAATTATGCTTCAATTACGCTCGATGGACGCTATTCTTCTTGTGTTTTGTAGAAAAAGTATTTCATGAACAAACATAAAATAAAATAAAACCAGATCATTGTTGAAAGGCTAATTTTATTCAGTCTTGGGAATCGTAAACTACTAACAATTTGTACATATTTACAGAGAAACTTATATTTAATGACCCATTTGCTTAGCCTACATACAAACTAATTAAAATAAGCTTAAATAAAGTAGCATTCGGAGTCCAGTATACAACGCCAAGTTCGATTTTACCAGCAACAATGTTTAGTGTAACAACATAGAAATTAATAATTTGATAGTAAAAAAAGCACAGACATAATTAAAATGCATGCAATTTCGTTTACAAACATTGAAACCACAAAGATTTTAAAAAGTACAAAGACAATCACAAAGATATAAGATGATTGGAATATCTAAAGCCTTACTTAGGTACATAAGAAACAACATAAAAGTGAAAATTACAAAGCTACGATGACATAGGAAGGTATCTGCATTTGATTAAGTTTTTCTTAGTACATATTAATGGAAACCTTAATGGAAAAAGTCCGACAAAAAGACCCTGAATCAAATTAAAATTTTCATAATACGTAGCTTACGTTTCATTCATGAAGTTTTATTAATTTATTTAGAAATACAGATTGATATAAAGTTTAGTTAATATTATTCTTACACCAAAGGGCGTTTAGTTTGTGTGTCGTAATAGTAAGGCTTTCGAATGAGTGCGTCTACGTCAGCCGCAGAGTAATTCTCTTGGCAGCCACAGCGCCGGACTCGGGCGGTGGGCCCCGCGGCGACCCTGCGACAATGGCCCCTGTTACTATTGTCTATCTATGAGGGTGTCTTCCACTGTTACTATTGTCTATGAGGGTGTCTTCCACTGTTAACTATTGTCTATGAGGGTGTCCTCCACTGTTACTATTGTCTATGAGGGTGTCTTCCACTGTTACTATTGTCTATGAGGGTGTCTTCCACTGTTACTACTGTCCATGGGGGTGTCTTCTACTGTTATTATAGGGGTGTCTTCTACCCTACTAAACTTTACTTTTGTCTTCATCTAAGTCTAACTTTACAGTGTACATTAAATAACTCTCCTTCTGAAGCTGTCGCGTAAAAATAAAATGAAACGTTTGTCTCTATGGGCCTTCAATCTGATACAACTTTTAGAGTGTATTTTAGGACAGAAACCTTTAGTTGTGAGCAATCGTGATGAGGACGTAGGCTATAATCAGTTTAAAATATTGTCACATTTGCTACTGGTAAAGTATTTTAGTTATTTTCAATGAACACATTTATCACAAAGCAAGTCAATAATTTTTAAACAAAGCCAATTTCGTTTTTAAAGGGACTGACAAAGAATTTTGAAACATAATCGAATCATTCGTTTACAAGATCATCAAAAACACAAACAATGAGCTCTCTTTACATAATATAGAAGTTACAATTAATGTAACTGCAAACATCAGCCTATATTAAATACAAAATAGAACTGATAAGAATTAAATAAGATGTCGCAATTTTTAGGGCTTTTACTTATACCCAAAACTCAGATGTGCTGTCATCCATACAAATCGGAATCGTCACATATAGCCCATGTTCAAAACCTCCAATCTTCGTCATTGCCAGTCCCATCCCCTTTTCGACCTACCGGCGCTGCTGCCTGATCCTTGTAGCGTCCGTGAACTTCACAGTGCACTGTCTGATGGACATGTTGGGGCGTAAGAAGTCACTCAGGGTGGATTCTTGGGGAGGGCGGTCGAACGGGAAGCCCATGGCGCGCTTGTCCGGATACTTTCGGTCGCGGATCCCGCAGTACGAGGCTGCGTCGTTGCAGGTACCCACTGTATCTTGCTCCACCTGGAAATTAATGATTATGTAAATATCTATTTGGGCTCCAGAAAGTGTGATGTTAGAGGCAGACTATTCCACCAGCCCCCTTCCATCACCGGGGAACCAGACGCAGGTTATGTGGATCACTCCATACTACTTAACAAATTAGAACGATTGGGCATACATGGTGACCTTCTGCGATGGATCAGTTCTTACTTAAGCAGGCGATCTCAGGCAGTAGTCATGGGTGGTTTCCGCTCTGACTTCATAGAAATACCGACTGGAGTGCCCCAGGGCTCGCATTTAGGACCGCTCTTCTATAACTCATATATACAGTGTGTCCGGGCATGTAGTGATCAAACTTTAAGGGCGTAATCTATGGACAATTTTATCGGTGAAAATACTTTAAATTTGGGGCTTGACCCATTTCTCGCATATTTACAAGGATTTAAGTTTTTAATTTTAAGTTTTCACCTCTTCCTTCAAAAACAAGTGATAGCGTGGGTAGTTTAACATTAATAAGCAAAAATTTTATATCATGCGATAGCC